GGGCCCGCCCTCTCCTGGCCGGGGGCCCGCAGGACTGCCGCGGGCTGACCGCAGGGCCAGGGGCCCGCAGGCTGCGTGCTGTGCTTCCGTGGGGCCACTCCACCCTCACCAGTAGACAGCTGTGTCGTGGTGCTGTGATGTGCATGTCCATGATGACCGGTGACGTCAGGACCTAGTCATGTGCCTGTTGGCCATGTCTGTTTTTTTGGAGAAATGACTATTCAAGTTCTCAGCCCACATTCTCGTTTTTTTGTGGACGAGTTTTAGGAGACGTTAATCCCTTATCGGACACGTAACTTGGAAACGTTTCCCGTTTCTTTGGGGCCCTTTTACTCCGTTGGTTGTTCCCTTTGCTGCGGGAAGTTTTTCAGTTTGATGTAGTTTCATCTGTCTGTTTTTGCTGCCTGTGCTTTGGGTGTCGTATCCCGGAAATCATTGCCCGTTCCAACGCCATGAAGCTTTTCCACTAAGTTTTCTCCTGGGAGATTTATAGTTTCATATCTTACAGCTAGTTGTTTACTGTTTTGAGTTAGTTTTCACAAGATCCAAGACAAAGGACACTTTTCATTTTCTTGCGTGTGGATGTCGGGTTTTCCAACGTCATTTGCTGAAGAGATGCCCTTCCCCTTCGAGCATCTTACGGGAGGTCATTGACTGTGTGTGTCTGTGTGTTGGTTTTTTTGGGGGCTCTCTTCTGTCCCCCGGGTCCCTCTGTCTTTGCACCAGTACCACAGTATTTTTTTGGTTTTATCTTTTAAGAATTTTTTTCCTGGTGGTTATTTTTTCTGCTTATTCCCTTTTGCCTCCTTTAAACCCTTTAATTTTCTATTTAACGTTTAATTCATTATTTCTCCTTTAACAACGCGTTGGAGGAAGTCTACGAAGTTACCTAATATCCTAATAGTTTGCTTGGAAGTGCGGGTACCGTGTTTACCTTTTACTGGCTAAGCTTCAGTGTTCTCACTCGAGGTCAAGGGCATGCCCTGTAAGAGTTCTCCTCTCCGGGCCATGTCGAGGGCTGCTTTGTTCTCTAAGACGTGGCCAGTTTTCATAACTGTCCCCCGGGCTTTAGAGAGGCATCGTTGCTGTTTGTGGGGTATTGAACTTAAAATGTATTTGTTAAATCCAGCCTGGGGTGGTGGTGTCCAGCTTCCCACGTGATCTTTTTCCCCTTAGATTGTCAAGTTTGAGAGCTGTGTTAGCCTCACATTAGCGTGGTTCGAAATTTGTGTCCAGCGCTTTGTGCTGTGTTTGGTTCTTACTGAACGTCTGTCTGCCTTTAGGGTGATTTTCTCTCCGTCATAAAATGTTCACCTTGGCGCCTTTCACGGCACCATCGCCTTGAACCCAGCGTGGCGGTGGCGTGACTGCCGCCCTCTGCCCTGGGCGACCCTGCGCGCGTGTCCCAGCACAGCCGTTTGTTCTTCGCATTTTTGCATTTTCTCGTAAATAGCATATCTTAGATTTTGCCTTTTTCTCCAGCTTATGATAGACTCTCGCTCAGGTCACGTGGTCTGAGTTTGTGGGTTGTTACTCTTAGCCTCTTCCCGCCCCCCCGGTTCTCACCACCACCCTGTCTCCTGGTATATTTGTCTTGAAATTTGTACCAGTATTTTTAAACTTCAGTTTTTCTGCTTCAAGAATTTAGTGTCAAAGTCCTATTTTAGTCAGGATGAGATCTTTTAACGTGCTTTTTAAAACCTTAGCTCCGATAGTTTGTTTTATTGAAAATAGTTAGAAACCTTAACAATTATATAATTTAAAAAATATATCTCAGTTGTTTTCTCCCAATAATATATTTTTAAGCAACCAAATCACCATATAAACCTCCAAATAAATCCGATACATCCAGGGTAGAAGTGGCCTGTAGCTCCACGTTGCCTAGGCCCAACCCTGTGTCTGCTCCCCCCTCCCGAGGCGGGGCATGTGGCCTCGGACACCTGCGGTTTCTGTGGCATCTGCTCACCTGGAAAGGGGGTGAGAGCTAGCAGCTTCCTGTGTTGGGAGGGGTGCGGCCGTTAGGGTCCTGGTCGTGGGTCGCCATCGGGAGGCACTGCTGGCTTGTGTAGGGCAGTGTCAGTTGGGTCCACGCAGTTCCTCAGGGGCTGGTGCTAATCTCCCTGGCCTCAGAAACCGTTCCTGGGTCCTTCACGTGAGCCAAAGCTGTCAGGGGACACATAGTGGTCCTCTTAGGAGCTCGCAGGACTTGAGGGTCAGAGCGTGATCAGGTCAGGAGGTGCGGGGAGGGAGCCGGCCCACGTGGCAGGAGGAGGATGCCCAGGGTAGTGGGGGATTCAGTGAGCTCACCAGCCCCGCCCTCGTGCCCCCCAGGGTCCCCCACTCTCCCCGGTGCCGCACTGTCTGCCAGCGCTGCCCCCTCACGGCGCCCGCTCCGTGGCCTCAGCCCCAGCAGTCCCTCTCGAGTGAAGCTTTCCTCTCGCCCGACGTTCGAGCTTCCCCGAGGGCACGCGTTGCAATCGCAGTGCTCGGCTGAGTCCTTAGGTGACTCGGTGGTGCTGCCCACGCCGAGCTGGGCGCTCTGTGAAGCCTGGGCGCCCGGTGCCTGGCCAGCCCGGCCTGTGTGCGCATGCGCATCACCCCTCCCGCTTCCGCGCGCCCGGCCGCTTTCCATCGGCTACCGAGAGGCGCTGAGGTACAGGGGTGACGCCCGTGGCTCTTGGACAAAGGGTCAGAAAGCGGAAGGTGGCATTTCACAGAGCAAGGGCAGCAAGTGGAAATGTAAGACGTGTGCTCAGCCTCGCTAGTAGCCCACGAACCGCCAGACGGAGCTGCAGGGTGTCGCGCGGGCGCCCACACCCACGCCTGCGGCGCCTGTTGGGGCCTAGCCCCCTGCCCCAGGCGCGGGGCACCGGCCGCAGCAAGCCCCAAGGGAGGGGGCCCCCAGGGAGCCTGTGCCGCGTGCGGCGGGTGAGGGTGGATCCGCGGGCGGGGTGTGCTTCGTGCCGCCTGGATGGTGGCGATGCGCCCGCGGCAGGGCACGACTGAGGCGCGTGTCTGCCGCAGACCCCTGCCTGTACATCCCGCGCTTCGCCCACCTGCTGGAGTTCGGGGACAAGAACCACGAGGTGTCCATGACGGCCCTCCGGCTCCTGCAGAGGATGAAGAGGGACTGGATGCACACGGGCCGGCGCCCCTCGGGCCTCTGCGGGGCAGGTACCCATGTCTGAGTCAGGGCAGCCTTCCCAGAGCTGCCTCCCAGCCTCTCCTGTGCCTGCGTCCTGGGGGGCAGAGCAAGACCTTACATGCTGAGGGGACCACCCGGCTCCCTGGCCTTGACCCAGGGCTTGACTGCTGGGTCGCTGTGCCCTGCCCCCATGCTGAGTCGTTACTGCAGAGCGTGGGTGCCCCAGCCTTTCAGCTGGCTCCCTGAACCCCAGGGGACAGCTGTGTGGTGTCCCCTCTGGTGGCAGTTGCCCACAGACAGTCCTGCTGTGTTCCTGGTGCCACTGGTGTGCCGGAGCCCCTGGACCTGGAACCCCTCCCCGGGAGGCCGGCAGGGCCCTTGCTCTTCCTCCTGGCCCCTTTCCAGGCACCCACAGGGCGCCTTCCTTCCCGACTGCGAGCCGAGCTGCGTCCTGTGCTCGGACGTCAGCAGGCGCAGCGCTGCCCAAGCTCCGTGCCCATCTCAGAGCCTGACCTCTGACCTCTGAGACTGCAGTGCAGGTTCCGGGTCCACTGGCCATGGTCTCCACGCACAGCACGTGGGGCCACCCCTTTCCTCCCCGGCCCGGGCCGTGTCCTCAGAGCCCAGCTCCGCCCAGCTTTTCCCAGACAGGTCCCCGCAGAGTTAACGCGCTTGCTTTCAGGGGCTGCGTGCAGTTCTCCCAGAGCGTCCTCTGGTTGTCCTTGTACCTAACCGCGGGCGACCAGCAGGCTCTACACACTAAGTGGCGGCCCACTCGCTCGCAGGGTGTTCTGATGACCCACAGGCAGAACGCGGCGTCTCCCAGCAGCGTGCCTGTGGCACGGCGTCCAGGCAGGGTCTCGCTGCCTGCAGTCCCCACCCCTCTGACCTGGGGCGCGGCACAGGCCTGCTTCTCAGGGCCCCGCGTGTGCCTTTCCAGCGCTGCTGGTCGCAGCCAGGATGCACGATTTCCGCAGAACCGTCAAGGAGGTCATCAGCGTGGTCAAGGTGTGCGAGTCCACGCTGCGGAAGAGGTGCGTACCACCCCCGCCCGGGCAGGGCGCCTCCCAGGGTCCTTGCAGGGGGGCCCCAGGGTGCCGCTGCCTCCTGTCTGGCCAGGAAGCCGTACGGCCACCTGCAGAGGCCGCATCGTCACGTCTAGTGGCGGCCCCTTCCTTCCATACCCAAGGTAAGTTGGGGCGGACAGTGGTTTGTGAAGTTGCCCAGGCTTGAAACGGTCAGGAAGTAGGCGCTGAGGGTGGCCGCGCCTGTCCCCTGCTCAGTGCAGCCTGAGCCACCAGTCGCTTGGAGGAAGCTGAGCTCAGAGGGCCTCAGCGTCCATGTGCCCAGGCGGCCCAGCGAGGCCCTGCTTTGCAGACGGGGTGGAGGGGTTGCTACCTCTCAGCTCCAGGGGCAGCTGCGCTTGGACTGTCATGAGGGAGCGTGGGGCCCTGGCAGCCCTGTCTGCTGAGTGCGTCTGAAGCACGTGGTGGCTGCTCTCCACCTTCGGGCACATCCCGTGGCAGTTTTCAAAGGCAGCTGGAAAATCATGTGCTTGTTTGACTTCTAATTTTTTAAAATTCTTTTCATTGAACATTTTGGAGATCACATGAAGTGAGAAAGTTAACTGAGTTGGTGGGAACGATCTTGAGCTGGGCAACCTGGTGAGGAGCCTGTGCCAGCCTGCCTGTGGGGGCCGTGGCAGTGCCGGGGCCCGGCAGGATCAAGGGGCTGCCGGAGAGTGCCTGGGCCATGCCCTGGCGGAGTGTGACTGGGGCGCTGGGCCGGACGTTCGGGGACGTCTGAGCAGCCGCGTCATGAGCTGGGTGCTGCTTTGGTGGCTGGTTTCAGGAGCATCAGATTCCGCTCCACGTCCCCATTTCAGGCTGACAGAGTTTGAGGACACCCCCACCAGCCAGCTGACCGTGGACGAGTTCATGAAGATCGACTTGGAAGAGGAGTGCGACCCGCCGTCGTACACGGCCGGACAGAGGAAGCTGCGCCTGAAGCAGGTGACCTGCAGCCGTGGCCGCGCGTCGCCCGTCAGCACGCGGGGCCCCCGGGCATTCTGCAGAGCCGCCGTTTCACGTTCTCACTCAGAACTCGCGCCTGGTCACCAAGGCCGGAGTGGGCCCACGTGCCCGCGCACGGCGGGGAGGGGACCAATGGGGGCACAGGCTGGGCTACGCTCCGGTCCTCGTCCCCATCCTGCCCCTAGGGGTGCCAGCATGCCCGTTCATCCGGGGGCTACACACGCATCCCTCTTGGCAGGCGGGCTCCAGGCCACAGCTCAGTGTCCCCCCGTCGGCCCCCTAAAGCTGCTGCTGCTGACACCCCGACTGGCAGGGAAGCTGGTCCCCGCGAGGCGGCGTCAGGTCCCAGGGCGTCGGTGACAAGCCCGGGGGGCCCGTGTCCGGTTGACGCTCATCCCACCACCGCACTCAGTGTCCTCGTCCTCTCGTTTTCAGCTCGAGCAAGTCCTGTCGAAAAAGCTGGAGGAAGTCGAAGGTAACCAGCCACCCGGCCACGCCGGCGCCTCGCGTCCTCAGGGAGGGCGCTCCGCGCTTACTCTCCGCTCCTTGTCCACCGCCGCAGGTGAGATATCCGGCTACCAGGACGCGATCGAGATGGAGCTGGAGAACAGCCGGCCGAAGGCCAAGGGGGCCCTGGCCAGCCTGGCACGAGACGGTCAGTCCGCCCTCCCCGCACCCGGCCATGCTTGGGTCACCGTGCCCGCCCTCCCGTGCCTGCCCTCCCACCTCCTTCCACGGCCACGTGTCCTGCCCCACCCCAGGCAGCTGGTCACCTGCTGGCCCTAACACCCTGTGCTATGTCTGGCTGTTCCTAGGACACCCCCGTCCCCCAGGTTTCAGCCCCGCCCCCCCCAGCAGCTCCCCAGCACCCGGGTCTTCCTGACTTGTGTCCTCGCCCTGCTGCCCTGGGCTGAAGTCGCATCCCAGACCAGGCTCTTGTTCTGGGGTCAGGCCCACCACCCTTGGGCAGAGGCTCGCCCCACGTGCCCTCTTTGGGGTCGGGGCCCTGTCCAGCTGCTGGGTGCATTCTTGGCAGGATTCCTTGCGTACATGTCCCCGCCTGCTCGGGTCGCCATGTAGGGGTGCCGCCCGACGTCCCCCTGCCCAGTGCTCCGGGGTGGCGCGTGCCATTACCGCAGCACCAAGCGACGTTCATGTGCCGCCCAGCGCCCCGTCCATGCTCCATGTGGGCGGCGGGCGCCCCTCCTCCGGTCCCCGCAGCCGCCAGCACTCATTTTCCTTGTCCACCTGGCCCTGCCTGGCACTCTGCTCATTTGGTGGCCTGAGGGACGTGGCCGTCCCCACCACAGCGCTGGCTGCTGGAGGCGGACTCCCCCCCGTTGCCTTCGGCGCTGCCGTTGGGGCGACGCAGACTCCGCGAGCCGCTTCTGTGCTCCCGTGCGCCAGGGCGGTCGTCACGGAAGTGCTCCCTGGTGCAGCGCGGGGTTCTCCGGGCGCGATCGGCCCCGGCGCACGGCGGCTCAACCTCACGTGCTGCAGAGCAGCGCGCTTTCGGCGGAGACCCGCTTCGGAGCCTGGGCGTCGGTCGGTGCTGGGCGGGCAGTGCGCCTGGGGTGCTCTCGTGATGCTGGCGGCGGGCGCACGGCTCCCAGCGCCCAGGCGCCCTCGAGGGTCACGACACCCACCTCGTGCTGCGCGTGCCAGCGCGTGTCGTTGCTGGGGTCTGCGTGGTCGCTTCCACCGCGTCCAGTTTTCCAGCGCCGCGCTGAGTAGTTCTGCTGCCTTCCTCTGTGCTAAGCCAGCGATTCCTGCTTCGGCCCTGTCCTTCCAGAACTTTTCAGTCGCTGCTTGATGCGTCACTCTGGGTGTGGGGCCACCCACGTGCAGGGCAGGCTGCCTCCCTGGCGTGGTTGGAGCCTCGACCTGCTGTCGTGACATCAGGTGCTTCCTGCTGCTCAGTCTCAGGCCGTGCGTCTTTGATGTGCAGAGCCAAGTGACGGTTCAGACTCCAGTGGGCGGTGGATGCGGGAGCCTTTTGTTGCTTGTACATTTATCACATTGTGACTGGCGGTTCCTCCTTTGTGCTGTTTATGGCGCGTCTGGCTGAGTTGTTGATTGGAGGTGCCTTTGGGGCTTGGGGAGGGGGCCGCTCTGCTACGGCCCAGCCCGGGCTTCCGCCCCGGGCAGTGGTCTTGACGCTCCTCTCGGCCTGATCCTCACTCATTCTGCCCCGTGATGTCTTACAAACACGGTGGCTGATGTCCGCCGCCCCCGCTGCAGCTCCTGTGGCCGGCATGTTGTGGGTGCCTGGCACCCCGGTGGGTCTGAGCGCTGCTCCGCACTGTCTGCCGCCCCCACTGCCGTGTCCTGTCTTCGTCCCACGTGGCAGAGCTGGGCTCTGCCCTCTGGCACAGGCGGAAGCAAGCTTGCTTCGGCGAGGCGTGCTCTGGACCTGGCTAGGGGTCGTGTGTTGTCCACTGGTTTTCTCAACGTCGTCACTTCGGTCCTCTGTTTGCTGGCAGCACCCGTCTGTGCCTGCCTGACGTCATCAAACAGGCATGTCCTTCCCAACCCCCAGCGGCTAGTGCTGTCAAGGGCCACCCTGCCTCCTGCTTCTCTCAGTGAGGCCGTGGGGATGAGGCCTTGTCCACATCTCTCCAGGTTGGTTGGCAGGTGGCAGACCCTTCGCCCAGCCCACCTGGAACTGAGCGGATGAAGCAGTGTGCCTCTGGCCCTTGGTCGTGCAGCTGCCCCTCAGACCGTGTGCCCTGTCCTGTGTCACTGTGCCCTCGGGACACGCTGCAGGGAGGGAGGCCATGCGAGTGCGGGAGGTGATCAGATGCCTATGGGAGAGCCGAGGCTGGAGGGCAGTCGGGGCCGGTGGAGGAAGAAGTGGCCGTGGCCGTGGCCACAAGGAGGGGCCCGTCCCTCAGAGGAATGTGTGGCATGTGTCCAGAGCTGGGCTCTGGGACCCCCAGGGACAGAGGGCAGAGACCACTGCCCTCCCGCTGCTCGCCTCCTGCAGGCACGTCAGGGGACATGCGTGGTCACAGAGCGGGCTTCACGGTGGGGTGGGCGGCGTGGAGGGAGGGCCCGCGGGGCGCCGTGAGGGAGGCGCACACACGGCTGGGCACGTCCCGGGGCGGCAGACCCGTGGGACCCGCGCAGGTTGGCCGGCCACAGGCCGAGGCAGCCTGGGTTGGGCTGCGCGGGCCCTGCAGGACCGTGCTTTTCACGTGGGGTCTAGTGGGGTCCCAGAAGGGCCCGCGCTGAGCCGAGCAGCTGGCTGGGCCGCAGCAGGGCAGGCATTTATACCTGCGAGAGACCACCCAGCACTTTCCAGCGTGGCCACGCCACGTCCACCCACCAGGCGCGGGGGTGTCCGGGCCACCTCCAGCGGGGCGCTCACTGTGGCTTCGTTGTGTCTTCGTCAGGACGTGGCGACCATCCAGGTGGTCTCTGCTGAAACGTCCATTTGACTCTTGTCCCTCCCACTGGGTCGTGCATTTTCTCGTCCTGGATGATGGGGAGCTCTTTGCGCCTCCTAAACGCGCGTCCTTCGTCAGCCGGGGGCTCCGCTGTGAATCTGCGCACTGTCCCGGTTTCGCTGAAATCCGACCCATCGGTAACTTGAGGGCTCTGTTTTTTGGTCCTGCCTAAGCTGTTTTTGCCCAGCCCAGAGAGCCCAACCTTTTTCCTTTGTTTCCGAGCCGGTTTGCTCCGGGCGGCCACGCGTCGGCCTGTGACCCGTCTTGTGCTCCTTCCCGTCAGGCGTCGTGGCGGCTGCGGTCCACTGGAGGGCGCACGGACAGCGGGGCCCGCCCTCCTGCCGGCTCTGGCGGTTCCTCTGTTCTCCGCTCACAGTGGAGCCAGTGCCGCCTGCAGCTGGCCGGGCCGTTGCTCTGCACAGAGGGGCTCTCCCCGGTGCTCTCCGCAGCTGACAGGCGGTGTGTGGAACTGTGTCCCCAGGCTCTGTCGAGGACGCAACGGCCAGCTTGTTGGGTGAGGAAGACGCCGAGGACGAGGAGCTGGAGGCCGCTGCCAGCCACCTAAACAAGGACTTCTACCGGGAGCTGCTCGGCAGAGGCGTCCCCGGCAGCTCAGAGGCAGCGGGCGGCCCAGGCCTGGGCGGCGGGCCCCCCGCCCTAGAGGCCCTGCTCGGGCCCCTGCCCACGGCGGCCAGCCTGGGCATCTGCGAGCCCGTCCGCGAATGCATCTCCTCCCAGAGCCGGGACCCCAGTGAGCACCCCGGGACAGGCGGGCGGACAGGTGGAGGCCGGGCGATGTCTAGGGCCATGGGAGGCGCAGCCTAGAACGGTGGGCGTGGCCAGGGCACCCCAGCACGTTCTGACACCCGAATGGCGACAGCGCGTTGCCATCCCTGGGTCCGTCGTCTGCGGGCCCGCTGGCCCAGGCCCCGGGCTCGCGGCCGCACTCTCCTTCCTGCCCCCCCTGGGGGCCCAGGACGCATCCTCGTGGTGGCGTCCTGCGAATCTTAGCTGAGCATCCGTGGCCACGTGTCACAGAGGGGCCTGGGGGCAGACCGGCACTCTGCGCCCGCCCCTCTGTGTGTGTCCACCCTGTGGGAGATGCTGGCCGCGGGCACTGTCTGCACGGCTAGGCGGGCGTCGTTCACTGTGCCAGCAGTGGTGGGTGCTCAGCAGGGGACTGTCCCCCCGAGCCCACTGGGCACGGGTGCTGGCAGGTCCAGATCCGTCGAGTCAGTGCCAACAGCGGGTCCTGTCCTCTGCCGGGAGAGTCCTCCCCGGCCCCACACTGCAGGCTCAGCACCCCCACTCTCCTGGCACTGAGGGCTGGAGCTCCGTGTGAGGGGACGCTGCTCAGAGAAGCCGTCCAGCCGCTTAGATGTTTATCTCCTGTCCTGTGGGCTCAGAATGGCAGTCGGTGACTGTGCGTCTGCCCCGATGACAGTGGTGGTCTCATGGGGCAAGGGACAGTGACACAGACGCAGCCCATCCCTTACATCCAGTTGTCCCATGAAGGGGCTGCTGTGTGAATGGAGCCCGGGGCAGGTTCTGCAGGGCGCCAGACGGCACGTACAGGGGCCCCGAGGCAGCACCCCGGGACCCTGGAGTCGAAAGAAGCGGTTCTGGCTTGACCTAAGAGCCCGAGATGGGCCCAGAGGGACGCGAGGGGCGCGCCGGAGCGCCCAGGTTGGCCCTTGCAGGGCCTGGGCTGCAGAGCAGAGACGTGGCTGCAGAGCATCCTCCAGGCCTTCTGCGTGTGGGCTGCTGCGGATGGGACTCAGCGGCAGACAGCAGGGGCCGCCCGCATTTCTGGGCCGTGCAGGTCATGCTGCCGACCCAGCTGGGGCAGGCCAGGGGGCCTGACGGGTGTTGGAGTCATCCTGAGCCCGGTCACTGAGGGCTCCCCAAGGCCCCGTCCTGCTCTGGAAGGCTCCTTTGTGGGACGCAGGGGGGCCGGTGCGGTTTGCTTTGCAGCCCACTCAGCGTCCCGCCCCTTCACGTAGGGGGATGTCTGCTGGTCCCCGCGCGCGGCGAGCAGAGGCCGGGGCTCCAGAGGCCACCCCGGGGCGTCCGCGCTAACTGGGAGCTGTGCTTCCTCTAGAGGATGCGAGCGGCGATGGCGAGTTGGACCTCAGCGGCATCGACGACCTGGAGATCGACAGGGTGAGCGGGGCTCTGTGCTCCCCCGGGGCCGGCCCCAGGGCACAGGCGCGGGTCCCACGCCGACCCGTCTGGTGGTGCGTCTGCGACCCCGGGCGCCCCGCACGTCGTGTCTTTGGAGAGGCCTTAGCGGCTCCCACAGCTCGTTCCCTGGCACGTTTGTCCTGCGGGCTCGTCCCCAGCAGACACGACGTTTGCCCCTGACCGCGCGGCGGAGCTCCGAGGACTGTGTCGGTTCTTCAGCTGGCCTCGCGCCCACCCTCCGGAGGCTCTGCGTCCTCGGAGCCTGCGGCCCCGCACCCCGGCTGGCCGCCCCTGTGCCCTGGGCGGGGCGGCAGGTCCCCTTGGGGTAGAGGCCCACCCTGCTGTTACATGAATGAGAAGCACGTTTGTGGCCGAGACCCGAGCGTGCTCTCTGGATGTGACGCCGCTTTCTGCCCTAGTACATCCTGAACGAGGCGGAAGCCCGCGTGAAGGCGGAGCTGTGGATGCGGGAGAACGCGGAGTACCTGCGGGAGCAGAGGGGTAAGCGCCGGCCCGCCTGCCTGGGCGCCCGGGGCGCAGGGCCCTGCTGATCCTGACGCGTGTGGTCGTTTCAGAGAAGGAAGCACGAATCGCTAAGGAGAAGGAGCTGGGCATCTACAAGGAGCACAAGGTAGGGCATGCTCCGGGGCGGACGCCGGCCCTTCCCGCCCGGTGGCGGGGGCTTCCAGCCGGGCCCTGCCCTCCGGCCCCGGCCCTGCGGCCCGCCGCCCCTCGGATAGGCACGCTCTTGAGCTGCGGGGAGCCCCAGGAAGGCTGTCGGGACTTGGGGCCTATGGTGAGGCTCCTGGAGTGTGTCCCAAGTCAGAGAAGCACCCGAGGGCCCCTCCCTGCTCCACCCCTGTGACCCAGCAAAGACTGCTCCTCACGTTGCCCCTGCCCTGTTCGCGGTCATGGCGACACAGCTCAGCCACTCCAGATGGTCGGGCGGGGAGGCCCCTAGTGGAGCGAGGGAGGAGACAGGAGCCTGCACGGCCACTGGAAGGCTGAGCCCCAAGACCTCTGGGGCTGAGAGAGGCGGACTCTGGAGCTTGGGGCCCCCTGTACCACTATGGAGGCTGCTCAGGAAGGCTGCTGGGTTGGAGAGCCAGCATTGGGGTGGGGAGGGGGTTTCTGCAGGAGGCCTGCAGCTCCAGCACCCAGAACAAGGTCCAGGGACTATATTTCTGTGCTGGGTGACATCCAGAATACGGGAAGCAAGCTCCCAGCTCTGCCCTCAGCCACCGACCCGGTGTAGTCAGAGTCGGCAGGGTGGGCTGCAGAAGCCCCTGTGGCCTTGGGCTGGTCTCCCAGCTGATGGCAGCGGCTGCCCAGGTCCCGCCTGCTGGGGTTGGTGCAGCTAGGCAGATGGGCCCCGGCCAAGGGGAGGCGCAGGCCGGCCCTCCACAGTGGGGTCTTCCCTGGAGTCCGCTGGCCCCGCTCTCACAGCCTGTGCAGCGCCTGGCGGGTGTGCAGGCTCCCTCTGCAGACGCCCAGGAGGTGTGACGCCGGGTCTCCACACAGCCCAAGAAGTCCTGCAAGCGCCGGGAGCCAATCCAGGCCAGCACGGCCGGGGAGGCCATCGAGAAGATGTTGGAGCAGAAGAGGCTGTCCAGCAAGATCGACTACAGCGTGCTCCGCGGCCTGGACAGCAAGGGCGCTGGCGGGCCGCAGCGGGAGGACACACCGCCCGTGGACAAGGCCAGCACCAGGAGGCTGCCGCGCAGGAAGGGGCCGGCCAGCAGGAGCGGGGCCGACCCGGTGCCCGGCGTGGGGAAAAGGTACCAGGCCGGCAGGCTGGGAGCGAGCGTGGGGGGCAGCCAAGAAGGAGCCTGGCTCTGTCCCGGGGAGCAGATGGGCCCGCTCTCCTCTCCGGGGACTGGCGAGAGCAAGGCACTGCCGGGCCAGTGGAGTGGATGCAGGGGAGACCACGGCCGTGTGCGCCGCTCCTGGCGAGGGCCCCTGAGGGCCCCTGCCACACCCAAGGCCGGTCCACCTGCCCCTGGCCCAGGAGACGAGTCTGGGCTCTGCTGCCACCTACCCAGCCCCAGGCATGGTAGGCGCTGCAGGCACTTGCAGTCACCCGAGGGGAGGGCCGTGTGGGGCTGCAGCCCCACCCCGTCCAGCCACGCGTTGCCACCATCTTCGTTTGGGATTTACTTGAGAAGCTAAACTTTGATTAGCATTTCATATTCTTTACGGAGGAGTAAACACTTCTCGGGGTTTTCTGACACTGTCTCTGGATTGGGTACTGCGCACTCGCTTCTCAAGCCCCTGAGTGCCCAGCACAGCCTGTCACCGTTCAGGCAGCTGCTTCCAGTCCTGCTGCAGGGACACGGCTGGCCTGCCCGACTCTCTGCCCTGGTGCCCCCCGTCTGCTGGGACCTGAGGAAGTCCTTTTCTGAGCCGGTCCCCTCCTCGCCGTGTGGTTACAGAGTGGGCGCTGTGTGGACTGCCTTGCCAAGGGGGGGCCTGGCATCCAGCACAGGTCTCCCTCCTGCTCAGGCTGGCCAGTCCACCCTTCGGTGAGGCTGCGCGTCACCCTCATGCCACTGCCCACAGCCCCATGTCTAGCATCTGCGGGCAGGCAGAGGGCAGGCGTGGGCGGCAGTGCCCAGCACAGAGGGGCCCCCTCCCAGGGCCCCAGGTTCTGTCCAGGCTGTCAGCAGGGAAGGGTTGCAGGCAGGCCTGGGGCTTGGCCGCGGGAGCCCAGAGATGCCTGTACCTCACCAGCGGCCGGCTGGGCTCAAGGGCAGCGTCTCAGGTGCTCGCAGGCCCCCTGAGGCCTGGCCAGCGCGCCCAGAGTCAGGTGCTCTTGCGAGAAGGGCCTGGAAATACGGCCCCCACTCCTTACCCAGGCCCTTGGACGCTGCCCTTCCTCATCCCGCTCTCCGTGGACCACTGCACCTCTCTCCAGCTCCGCCCGGCCTCGCTAGTGAGCTCTCCTGCCGAGAGGGCGGGCCTGGCTGCCACCTCCCGGGTTCTGGGGACGGGATCTCCTGCTTGGCCTGGGGCACCGGGGGAAGGGCTCCCTCTGAACTTGGCCTGCAGACGGCGTGTGCCTGCCTGTCTCCTGTTCCCTGGAGGCCGCTGGCCGAGACTCTTGGAGCCTACTACCTGGCCCTCCTCTTGAACAAGCTGTCCACACCGAGCAGCCAGCCCCTTGCTGTCAGCCGGCCACAGCTGTGACTGTCCACCCGTTGGTGTCCCCAGGGTTCACCGGCACGCCACATTGGGGCCTGGCCTCGGGGGTCCCAGGGCGGTGGGCTGGGCAGGTTCGGGCGCACTGTGCAGCTCGGCCGTCTGAGCCCCTGCGGCTCCCAGCAGTGTGTGTCCCCAGCTGCCCCCAGGCTGTGGGCCCTGCCCCCGCCTCTCACCACCAGCCAGGGTGTGTGGGGTTCCTGGGCCTGGACAGCTCCTCTCAGGCGGGAGTTCCCACTACTCCTCTGGGGCCAGTCAGCACTCATCAAGATTTGGTATGCTTCTTTTTTGGTCCCTTGCAAGTGACAGCATGGACAGGCACCCCAGCTTTGCGTTTGGAAGGTCTGGGGGAGGGCGAGCAGGCCCAGTGGAAGGGGCGCTGTTGGCAGAAATCGGGGTACCCTGTGCTGAGCGAGGGGCTTGGACTGGGAGGACAGGGGCAGTCTTGCGTCCTAGAGCTCTGCTCCCCCTCCCCACCCCTCCCTCGTCCTCCACCCGGTGTTCCGTTGCAGGTTGAGGCCGATGGTTTCCACGCAGCTGGCTAAGAAGGCGGCCACAGGAGAGGTGCGTTGTGTGGACAGGCCGGAGGTGGGGAGCTCGGGAAGCAGTGGACCCGAGAGGGGACCCTCGAGTTGCTGGGAAGACAGGCACATTGCTCCACGTGGCCGGGGAGGAGGTCCTGGGAGGGGTCTGGGGGCCGAGAGCCCGGAGCCCACTAGGTGGGGTGACTGTGGAGCTGTGCACCCTCCGGCCCTGGCCTCAGGCAGCCTGCGGGCTGGCCCTTCGGAGAGCATCTGGGTCTCACCCGGCTGCTCCGGCGGTCCAGGTCCAGTCTCACCTGGGGCTCAGCTCTCCAGGTCAGGCTCAGGGCCCCTTCCCCACCGCCCGCCATTTCCAGGGTCTTGGTCCCTCCCAGGAAATAGCGGAGAAGCAGGTAGGCAGGTCCAGCGGGAGGCCCAGGGCAGCTGCAGGTGCGGGAGGGGGCGGGGCGGGACAGGGTCACCGCTGGTCAGGGAGCCTTGCTCTACACGCTGTCCCAGAGCCTGTCCCCTCGCTCACAGGCCCGGTTCCCGACCTCCCCCACCCTGGGAGCCGAGCCTGCGAGGCCCGCGACGGTCGTGGTGGAGAGCGGGCCCGTGTCCTACCACCCCGAGGACGACCCCGAGGAGGAGGACCCCGAGGAGGAGGACGGGGAGCCCTGCGTCAGCGCCCTGCAGATGGTGGGCGGCAGCGGTGAGGCTCCGCGGGCCCCGGCGGGGTGGGCACGGGGCGGGGTGGGGGCCCTGGAGAGCAGCAGCCGCCTGCGTCGACTCTGAACGAAGCGGGTGGTTCATGGACCAGCCGCGTGGGTTTGGAGCCCACTCAGGAGGCAGTGGGCACCGGGCTAGCCCAGAGGGTGGCCCTGCCAGAGGACTGCGGTCCTGGGCGTTGACCGCATGCCAGGCCGCTGGCCCCCAGGACCTACAGCAATGAGACCAAAGCGGGGTCCCCACTGGTGGGGGCCCCGTGCATCCGAGGCCCACAGAGCTGGCGCCAGAGCCTCGGGGGCGGGGCGGGGCGCTGGGCGCCTTGGCCCACAGCACTCCTCAGCCTCTGCCATTGTCCCTGCGCTTTGCAGATTACGGCTGTGACGGTGACGACGATGATGGCTACTGAGGTGTGACCTTGCAGCTGGGGAGTGTTCCGGTGGCGGACCCCGCTGTGTCTCGTTGGGGATCAGACGGGGCCTCTGGGGCTGGAGCCCACAGACGTGGGCGCCGAGACCCTTGGTGACAAGAGGGTGCTGCCCCGCCTGCTCTGCAGTCCTTGTCCCACGGCCTCGTGCGGCGTCCGTGGCGTTTGCCATTAGGACTGTTGGGACCATGTTTTGAGCAATGCAAGGCGTGTGTCTCCCTAGCATGGGACTTGACCGGTGTCGTCATACGGGTGGCCAGACGTGGCCTCGAGACCTAGCGGCCTTTGCGGGTGGACTGTCAGGTCCCTTCTGAGGGAACAGGCACGGGAGGCCCAGCTGGCGGGTTCCAGGAACCAGTCTCTGCCGCTCACGGAGCCGGGTGCCCTGCGCCCCCTCTCGCTGCCACCGAGAAGCACCGCGTTCAGTCTCTCCCTCTGCTGGTCCTGTGCTTCCAGCTGCAGTTCTCCGCCAGCGTCCGGCCTGGGCGCTGGGGCCGTGTGGTTCTGCGCCCAGGAACCCCGGGCACCCTGCCTGGGCGGCAGTTTTGCAGCCTGAGCCGAGAGCCGTGGCGCCTGGCATCTGAGTTGGCGTCTGGCTCGCGTCCTGAGGGAAGGCACGCGGCATCCCCGAGCCTGGCCGTCCTGCTCGGAGTGGTCCCCACCAGCCTTCACTGCCCCGGGGGCCGGGCCTCGCCCAGAGACCACTGTCAGCCTCTTGGCTCCGGCGTTGCTGCCCTGGATGTGGCCAGGGAGGGCGGGCAGGTGCCTCCGCCCACTGGATGCCCTGCCCTGGCTCCACCCGCTCCCCAGGGGAAGATGAGCGGGGTGCCAGACGACCCCACATCGCGTTGCAGGGCCCATGCCGTCTCCCGGAGCACAGCAGTCTGCGGGTCGGGTTGGGGACTTTGTGGTCTGGTGTCCATTCCTGGCCTTGCCCCTAGACCTTCTGGGAGGCGGGCCAGAGGGCAGTTTGTGGAACAGGAAAGCTTAAGCAGAAACCCTGAGGTTGTGGTCCGTTGTTTCACGCGTGACCCCCTGGAGGCCGGAGGGGGCAGGTGGGGCCTGAGGACTCCACGCTGGAAGGGGGTTGGGGGTGGGCAGCTGTGGCCGGGCGTGTCTGGCTGCAGCTGGAGTCACCCTGGGGTGGGTGTGCGGGGAGGGGGAGTGGGTGGGGAAAGGCAGTCTGCAGGGTGAGGGAGAAGCATTCGGCGTCAGGGTCCTGGGCCGCCGGGAACCTGCAGTACACGGACATGCGGGTGGCCAGTGGGGAGGGGACAGGCCAAAGGTGAGCAGCCAGTGGCCGATAGGACACCTCTGGGTCACGGCCAGTGCCTGTGTGCAGGCCACCACTGCCACACACGTAGGCCCGCAGGCTCCGTCCCACATTTGCGTGCTGCCTTCCCAGCTGTGGGACAGCCCGTCCCATCGGACCCAGGGCCCTGGGGGGTGGCCGTCCCCAGCACTCTCAGCTCTCTGGACATCTGCCCCAAAGCCAGGTCTCTGCAGCTGCTGGCCCCAGAGTGGCCTTGGCAGCACCCTCCCTGGAGGGGCTCGGGCTGCAGCTGTCTCGCACCCTCCGTCCAGAGCTGGGATGGGATGCCCCCTCTGCAGCCCTGCCGGCTGGGCCCAGGAGTGGGTGCCGCAGGGCTCAGAGGCCTGGTGCCCTGGCCTTGGCGAGCAGAGCTGGGCCCTCCGAGACCCTGGGGTCGGAGTCCCTGGGACGCCTTCCTGGGGAGTGGGCTGTTCCGGAGTGGCCGTAGCCATGTCCTGGCCCCAGCCATGTTGTGGCCCCGCCCTCTGCCGTCCAGTGCTCCTCCCCTCCCAAGGCCTTTCTCCCGTGCTCCGCCCTGCGCCTGGTGGCCTCCCATGGTCTGAACATCACTGGGGTTGTCACTGGCTCCCCCGTGGGTTCTAGTGGGTCTCAGGTGAGGCCAAGAGGAACAGGATCCTGAGTGAACGCCCAGGGTCACCCAGCTGGGAGGTGACCTCCCTGGCGCCTGTCTGACAGCCACCCACTTCCTGGGGAAGTGGCCCTAGGAATCCAGGGTCAGGCTGTGCCTGTGATTAGGTGTGAGCGGGTCCTCCTGGGGCCTGGCTGGGGACAGCACGCTGCCGTCCACCAGCCTCACCACAATGCTGGGGGCAGCTGGGAGGAAGTAGCCTGCTCCCCATGTCAGCCCTGCTCCCTAGGGTCCCTGAGCCCACCCAGCCCTATCAGTGCCGGGGTCTTTTGTGAGACTGGAACAGGGCCAAGTGCCATGCTGCGGCTTTCTGGGGACAGGAATTTGTCCACAGGTGTGTGGGTCCCGGGCAGTCCAGAGGCATGTATGTGTCCCTCAGGGCCAGAGCCCAAGGCTGGCCAGGCTCTTTTGCCACCACACGTGTCACACTGGGCGGTGGGACCAGGGCCTGCCCGCTCATCCTGCAGGAGGGCTTTCCAGGAGGTCTCCTGCCGTCCTTCCCCACGCTGACTCACCTTGGCCAGCTCAGCCTCCCCCTAGGGTCCTGAAGCGGGAAAGGTAAGGCCTGAGCAATGGTGGGCTAGGGGCTGTGCCAGCCCAGGAAAGACAGTGCAGGTGGCCTCAGGTGTGCGCACACCCATCTGTACACAGGTACACATTCACTCGTGCCCACACACACACCTGTTCACTCATGCCACAGGTACATGTGTGTCCTGACCTGTTGCAGCCTCTGGACCACTGGGGCAGGCAGGGACTCCAGGTGGACCCAGGTCCACTTGGGTGGCTGAGCTGTCACCTGTTGGCCCATTGGTGTTCTAGCCAGTCTCTTAGCAGGGTGCTGTGACAAGGTGCACCCTTCACCCACTCCCCACGGAAGGTGGGGGAAGGGGACTGGCCAAGGTCAAAGGCTTGTCTGTGTCTGTGGCACCTGCTGTGGTCACCCAGCCCACACCAAGCGCTGGGCCACAGAGCTAGGACTGCAGGCGACCTTCCTCGTGGGGTGGGGACGAACCAGGAGGTAGGGCAGTGCCCACGCCAGCAACGGGCAGGGCCAGGGGCAGGACCCCAACACCAGGGCGCCCAGGTGAGCTTTCTGAACCTCCTTGGCACATCCTGGGACCCTGAGCTGGCCGCGGGAATGGGGGGACAGTGCCAGGAGCAGACCGATAGCTCCACCTCCCAAGAGCTGCGAGGCCAGCTCCACCCCTTCTCTGCCGTCCACTGCTCAGTCACCAGTGACGCTGCGGTCGCACCGGCCTGCCCAGATTCAGGCCTTGCATGCCCTGGGCCCATGCACCTACCTGCTCCTCCCCACCTCCCCAGGTGGCCCCACAGGGGCACTTGGATTGGTCAGGTTCTCAGCAGGCAGCAGGGCTGATGGCCACAATCCACCTAGACCACCTGAGGGCCTCTGGAGAAGGGCAGATGGCCAGGATGCTTCTCCACAGAGCCCGGCCTGAGCCCCCGCCATGCCCTGCGAGGGTCAGTACCTCCTCTGGCAAAGCCACCGACTCCCTGCTCTCACCCCCGTCACAAGTCCTGGGCCCCTGGGCAACAGCAGCACTGTCTGCCCCCTGTCCCTTCGTCTACCCCCATCCCCACCAGCCCCATCCAGGCCTTCGGGCCACAGCACTGACAGGCCGCACCCTCCGGCCCCTCAGCTGCTCCCTGGGGACGTCGGAAGGGCAAGGTTGGATTGGGCTGGCCCAGGACCAGGTCCACCCCCGGCGCTGCTGCGTGGAGGGGCCAGCAGGCCTGGGACCGGGAGGGGGGCTCGTCACTGTCCTGGGTCTGAGAGGGCTGCAGAGTGGGGCCTGCCGCCTGTTGCCCACGCTCTGTGTTGAGGGATTCAGGCTGGGAGGGGTGTGGTGTGTGTCCTGCCTGCAGTCCCATGCTTGGGGCCACACTGCAGGGGCTGCTGGGTCACAGCAGGACAGACTTGGCCTCACCGAGGGTCATAGGTGGGGCGTGGAGGAGCGGGGTACCCAGGGGTCTGAGCCTGCAGGTCCACATCAGAGAAAGGGGGTCTACACACTGCCCGCCCGGCGGCCACTGCGGCACTGCTCGGGGGTGGAGGTGCTGCCACCCCGTTTCCTGAGCAGTGGAACTGCAGGCTCGGCCTGGCCTGGGGGCTTCATTCTTGTCACCCCCTCCTGTCACCATGGGCCCCGCACAGCACCGCCCAAGGCTGCCGTGCCAGCAGGACCCCACCCCGAGCAGGCTCACGCTGGGCCCTTCCCGGGCGGAGGGCCCTTTCTGGCAACAGCGAGAACTGCTGAGGGGACACCCCCGGGGCTGGCATCCCCAGTGCCCTGTTGGGCAGCGCAGACCCAGCCCAGCCCACTGCAGGATCGGCCCCAGTTACTGCAGCCGTAGCCCTGGGCTGCAGGGGGCACCCCAGGACCGGCTGGGCTTGGGCAGGGCACTCAGCTCCTGGGGTGGCCCCCTGCCTGCTCCCTGCCACGCTCAGGCGTGCCTGCTTGGGGCTGACACCCACAAGGCCCGGCCACCACACAGGCACCC